CCCTTTTTTTCCAATGAGCTGCTGCCCATCCCTTTCAGGCTCGTCGACTGGCTCGGCATCAATAGCTGAGAAAAAGGTAGTGGTGGTGTTGGGTTAAAGCCAGTTCTGTCCTGGCCACCATCTCTGGTTGGCTGGCTCCCCTAGCAGGATGGAGTAGAAGAGCTATGATGGGGTAGTGCGGTTAACGCCTGTTGGGTGATGTGGTTATTCTGCGAGAATAAAACTCCAACTACATTGCTTAATTGAGTAATACTCCCCTAGCAGCTGTGTCTGTCTGAAGAGCAAGCTGTGCTATGGTGGGAGGATGCCAAGGTGGTAGGTACTGTGGAGGGTTAGCCAGGGTATCAGGCACAGCGGAAGGCTGACAAGGACAAGGTGATGAAACACAAGTGCGCGCCAAGCTACAGACGAGGGGAAAGATTTCCGACCACGGGAAAGACGGGTGCGTCAAAGGATGAAAAGTTCACCCCAACGGGTCCTTAGAGCCTCTTTCCACACCACTTGAAACACTTGAAAATACTTGAGTTTCAAGTGTGCACTAGATGAGAAAGAGTGATTAATTTACACTGACTGGATCTATGGTTCCATGTGCACTTGAGGAAACCCTTGAACAGGCTGCACTCGAAACCCAACTCCAGGGCTTGACTGTGGTGGACCCACCAGGTGTGGTGCTCCACCAGAGATAGAGATGGAGATGGAGGAAGAAGGGGGAGCGAGATGGCACAGCGCAGCTTCCACGCCAGACTCCAACGCACGTACTCCAAACTGTGCGAAGGCAGAATGAGGGAGAAAACACACAACAGCTGGGGTATACCCAGCGGACTGACGGGACTGGACTGGACTGGCTGGTACTAACAGAGGTACCGGCCTGGACTGGACTGCCCCGAATACAACACAGGCATGTGAGAACAGGCCAAGGGGCTGGTCTCACAGGCCAACCAAAGGTCCGCTACACGATCCTCGGCCTATGATGAATCGCCTAGATACAAGCACGCTTCCGCCAAGAACCGGAACTCTACCAAAGAAAAAAAGAAAACCTGAGTAGTCTAGGATGCGGAGCAAGCTCCATGTTGAGTCCATGCGATGTAACCTAGGATAGAAAATGTCACAGCTAACAGCCTAAGTGAAAGCAGAAGCAACTAACTAGCATACATGTCCTAGGAAAGCAGAAGCATGTGACGCGCCCTCACGCCCTGTGCTGTCTTTCGTTCGGAGTGCTAGATGTGCGGAGAGAGGCCCAGAAAAACAGCAAGATGGGGTGTGCCAAGGATTTTTGGAAATTGAGTGTGGGGACACACACGGAACTTAAATCCCCCGTGTTGGTCCGACAAAGTAAGTCGATCATTTTTTGCGCGGCGCTAACTGCGCGCGCGGAAGTTTTGGCGTGAGAGGAGTGAGAAATACAAATTCAATCCAGAAAATATTGTCGAACATCCCACCTAGCTACAGCCCGTCGTTTAGAACTGAAAGGTTTCGGCACGCTTCGCGTGTCTCGTTTCCGTATTAAGTCGAGTCGTCGTTCACTGACCAGTTCGGAATCCGACGTGGATGGTCTTAGTCGCATGGCTCTTTCTCTATGTTCGTCCTCACTCCGCACACGGTAGTGGAAACCCTTGGTTTCGTAGCGTTCAAAACGCTGGCATTCGGTGCATACAGTGCGCGGCCAGTGGGGTTCTACTGCTGTCCACGGGATGACTATCAACTCGTTGAATGGCAACAATATCGACTAGGGTGGAAAGTGCGTGTCGATAATGACAAACCCAGCCTCTACGAACCCTGGACAACGGTTTGCCAGAGGGAAGTAGTATCGTCCGCCGATCTGCGCGACAGCTTCTCGTACGTCCCACTCGCATACACGTGTCCTTTCCTCGTTGTAGGGAAAAGGTCGTGTCGATACGGGAGGTACGGGAGGTTGACGCCCGATCGAAGGGTGCTGGTTAGTCCACATGTCAATCAATTGCAAAAATTCAGAGACGTCATCAAGGAAAAACACTCGCGCAATCACTAATCAGTCCTTTTCGACACGAGAGAGAGAAAAAAAAAAACACTCATTAGTTCAATCACGCATGCAACCTAGGGACTGACCCGCGACTCAGTTTTCCGTAAACCACCGTGGTGGTTATCCCAGGCGCTTTATTTCTCGGGGATGCCCTATAGATCGGTTGCAGATGTCGTGCAGCATAAGGCAGATGGCATGCGCAGTGCATTCAGAAATACAGATCTAAACACTCTTGCATTCTCGGACAAAATCCCGCCAAGTGCGGCGTCTAATCAATACAGAAAGGCAAACATCTCCATACATACATTCACTGTGGAAGGTGCGAAAATGACGAGGGTACACAGGTCATACATCAACCGAGGGAATTGTACACACGCATCCACCGCTCACAAGACAAAATGATCAATTCCTCGGCATCTGGGGATTACCCAGAAAACTAATGGAAGAGTTCTGGAAAAAGTTCTTTCATGCAGGAAAACACAATGATTCACTCCCATCCAAGAGAGAGAGACAAGCATCGAGATACATCATCATTCAAAGATAGAGGAGAGAGGGGAAGGTGAGGGAGGAGAGTCGAGATAGGAGATGACAAGATAAAAAAAAGGAGGAAGTCGGCGTTGCCACCGTGCACTCACGCTAGAGAAAAAGATCCACAACAACAAAGGCGCATTCGCCGTTTTAATTCCAATATGGCCCCGGGCCAATCACTCACTCAACTCTAATCATCGATTCTCATGCCCGCAACGACGATCCCAGTCGTCGCGTGCTAACTCCCACCATTGCAATCGTCACCCCGCTGACGTAAACTCAACGCGGTTCGCCTAGATCCCACAGTCCTTCGTGGCGATCAAGCGCGCAACCGGCCAGCCTATCGACAGCCCGACAGGACTTTCCGACTCGCACCAAACACTCTGCCTAGCCACTGCTTCCCGGAAACTGGCTCAAGAGTCCAAAACGTAAGAGAGATTTGCGGGTGCGTTTGCGAAATTTATAGTGGCGAGAAGGGGGCGAGGGAGGGAAAAGGCAGGGGGAAAGTCGAAGTGCAGGGAAAGAAGCAGGAGGAGAAGACTTTGAGAAAAGCGCTTCGTGGAAGCCATGTTGATCCCTCGAGACTCAAGGTTCAACCAATCAAATCCGTCGTACAATAGGAAGATCCTATTGATCGATGTAGCTGATTGGCGAGCGGGAGTTATCGAAGGATCGACCAGGTGCTGTGCGCTGGGTTCGGAGGGTGAGAAGAAAAAGGCGCGAGAAGTAGCGCAAGACGGGTCCAAGATTCAGACGATCAAGAAAGGAAAGAAAGGAAAAATGAGCGCGCAAGGAGTAGAGCGGAAGAAAGAGAGAGAGGAAGAAAACCAGTTACGAGGAGAGAGGAAGAGAAGGGGGAAGGAAGAAGGAGCGTGGGGGAGAGCGATGCGGGGGAGGAAGCTTTGCATGCGCGGCGCCGTCAACAAAAAAAAGAAAAAAGGCACCAAAACAATTACAGCTTGCCTACCTCCTAAGCCAATTCAAAATTGAAATCACCATATCCGCGCGCGAAAGAACAATGTGGGAAAAGAAAGTCCTACGCCTATTCGTATGCCCACAAAATTCCGAGAGTTTTCCCCAACGCGACCGAGAACATTCACGCACAAAAAGGACACGTCGAAGTTTCGCTTATCCCAGAATTTCCAACCACCGGGCCCAATTCCCCGTGCGCTCACTAAGGCGTACGCAAATTCCTATGTATTTTCCAAAGTGCAAAAAGAAAAGCAGAACCCGGGAATCGAAAAAGCTTCCGAAAGGTGGGGGCCCAAAACGCGGCACCCGCAATCAAGAAAACGAAATGGGGTTTTCGAGGGGTTGGTATGATACAAGCAAAAAAACAGGTACGAAAGATAGCACGGGTTCGGGAAGTAGTTCGTCACATATGTGACGCGCAGGGGGTTCCAAAATTATGCGATCTCCTGATTGCATGTCATGGCGGAGAAGGAGAGAGAAAGAGAGAGAACAGAGTGATGAATGAGGAACCAAGCGTATCAACAAACGGTCCAGCCTGAGTCCATGTTAACGCCATCTTCAATTGCAATCTTTTATTGGCCCGTGCTGCTGGAATCATCGATGGTCGTCCAGGTGACGCCATCATTGTCTGTCGGTTCTCCGTGTGCTCTGCACCCCAGTTTGTCGCTGCCCGTCGAATCAGAGCGTAATTGATGTCATCGTCGAAGGCGTGATCTTCGCGAAGCTTGCTGATTCGTGCCGTTTTCCCCTGTTGATTAGATGAAGAGAGGAAGGGGGGGGGGGAATAGTCACGTGATCGGGATCTACCGCCTAGTTGGAATGGGCCAGTAGAGGCGGTACATGGAGGGGATCTCACGGGGACGACGGGGAGGAAGTGGGGGTAGGTAGCGATTCATCCCTTCTACCGTCACCGGAAGCTCCTCATATCGGATGATCCGGTGAAAGCGAGGAAAGTGATCGCCGCTATGAGGGAGGGAAGCGAGGTAGTCGCGATAGAAGGTGGAGAGGGTGCGGAGNGGGGGGGGGAGAGAGGGGGAATAGTCACGTGATCGGAATCTACCTTCTAGTTGGAATGGGCCAGTAGAGGCGGTACATGGGGGGGATCTCACGGGGACGACGGGGAGGAAGTGGGGGTAGGTAGCGATTCATCCCCTCTATCGTCACCGGAAGCTCCTCATATCGGATGATCCGGTAGAAGCGGGGAAAGTGATCGCCGCTATGAGGGAGGGAGGCGAGGTAGTCGCGATAGAAGGAGGAGAGGGTGCGGAAAAGCGCCGCTCGAAAGAACTCGTAGTGGTGACAGGCGGGGATTGGCCCCGTGGCTACGCAGTAGACTTCTACCACGTTGCATCGCTCCCACGCAGCGCTGAACAAGAGGATATGCCAGCAGAACGTGGGGGCAGCGGGCTGAAGGGATGCGTGGGGGTGGACGGTAGCGAGTAGGCGGGTAGAGTAGAAGTCACGGAAGAGATGGGGAAGGAAGGGATGTAGGGGGAAGATGACGGGGGTGCGGATCTGTTCGAGGGTGAGAAAATCAAGGGGTCGGCGGGATAGCGTCCGAGGACGAAGGCCTATCGCCCGCATCGGTACGTGGGCGAACTGGGGGACGGGTGGGGCTGGAGGAGGAGGGGGATCGACTCCGTCTCCGTCGTGCGGTGCTTGAGGTGGCGGCTGCTGGGTCGCCATCTTCGGGCTTCGGCGGCTCCGGATTCCTGGTCGGATCGTTATCGATACGCAAGCTGGCTCTGCTGGCGAACTCCAACTGACGTTTTCCGGTGGCAATTTCTTCGCGCCTTCGCGCTGCTACCGGATCTTCCACCTCCGTACCCGCGCGCGCCGCTTCCTCCGGCAAAGCTTCCCACTCAGACCCGGTTTCTTCTTCCTCCTCTTCTTCTTCTTCACTCAGCTCGCCCTCGCTATACTCGCTATAGCTCCCTTCCTCCGACGTTTCTTCGTCGTCGTCTCCTTCGTCCTCGTCTTCTTCCTCCTCGTCAATCACCACTTCCTCTGCCTTCGGATAGAAGGCGTGAGGGATGATGTCGTAAGGCTTCAGATACTCCTGCCGTGATGGTAGCGTATCTTCATCCCTGGGCTCCTCCAAGCACGCAGTCCACTGTAGGTACGGATCCAATGACCGCTCGAGAATGTACGGAGAAGGGTTGTCGTCACTTTGTGAATAGATGTCGGGCGAGAGATCGTCCGCCAATTGCATGATCGGCGCAATGAGTTCCTGTGTAATTAACTGGCGGCGGCCCGGCCGTACCGATCCAAAGAGAAAGCTGAGAAGATCGCCTTCGACGTTAGTTCTCCAAGCTTGTATGATCAGCAGCTCCAAATTTTTGATCCACCCAGGATGCTCGCTGGTCTGCGTCCACGTAACCTGTACTCGGGCCAAGCAAAAGGACAGCTCGTCAAAAGTTTCGCGCCACAGTCGCCAATGCCCAGGATTAATGAGCGGGACAGAAAGAGGCTCGAACGAGAAGGAAAGAGAAGGATGAAGATCGGACTGCCAGAAGGTGGGAAAAAGAGAGGGGAGACCGAAGATGGAGAGAGGAGCGAGGGGATCGGTGTGGTTCAATGGGGACGTGGGAAAGGGACGAGGGTGGGGATCGCAACTGGCAACTCGCCTGGAGAGCGGCGGATCTCGCCAAGATCTAGTGCAAAGGTCGGGATGAGGTTGTGCCCTGGCCGGGCGAGGCTGTGCTGCCACACGTTGGACACTTGCTCCGTCCACTCTCGCATCGCGGTATGCCACAATGGATTGACCGAACTGATGTCGCCTCTGAACGCCGCAACCGTGGTGACGTGGCTCGTTCCGGGAGCCGCTCGCCGATGAACTGCGATTACTTCCGCCAATACCACTGCGTGTGGACTCCCTTCGATTCTAAACGCGGCGGCGGCACACACACCCACGTCGCAGAAGAATTGCGCCAATCGCCGAAGATCCGTACTAAGCCGTGGATGACGTACTTGTTGAATCTCCGAGATGTGGCCAGCTATTCGTCAAGAGCCCGCTCTGTGATGAAACTCATGGCGAGGTCGGAGAAGATGACGAAGAAAGCGGAGAGAGAGTTAGATCGTCGTCGTTCTCCTCGCTTTCCGAGGAGGAAGAGGGAGGAAGATAAGAGGGAGGAAGAGGACGGAGGTAGGAGGTATGTCGGACGATGGGGACAGAGCTATGGCTGGCGCTAGCCTCAGGCGCGATGCGCACCGTGTTAGCGTCGTTGGGTCCGAGCTCGACAACGCGAAAACAGCCAGAAAACTTGGGAGCGAGTTTCCAGTCGCGTGCACATTTACGTACCTGCACTAGGTCCCCTAATTTATATTGATGCTGGGGCCCAACATTTCCATTACGAGCCTCGTCGCTACGGACCTGTCTACCGTGGGCTAGATTGATCATCCTTTGTTTTTTTCGGGCTAGCTTCGGGACGGCCCGCTCCATTAATTCGGTGTACCTTTTGGCCTTGGCCTTGAGGGCTGCACGCGTGTCCCTACCCCATGCCTCGGCAATTTCCGAGTTACCCCGGTAATCGATACAGGGGAGGCTATTAGTACGAAGCTGAAAAGGGGTGAACCTCGTGGACTCGTGAGGGGTGACCGGTGGATCCCGACAGTCTGATATACGATCTCGGTCCACGGACACGTGTCGTGTGCCGCTAAATTCCTGCGAAGGGCAGTTTTAATCATGCGGTTGGCGTTTTCAGCCAGCCCGTTCGACTGAGACACGTGCGGGGCCGTATGTCGGAGCGTGACGCCCCTTCGTGCAAGCAGTTCTTCTACTTCTCCCTTAAATTCGGACCCATTATGGGTTAAGATTTCTTCCGTATCCAGATGGGTGTAGAGGAACCGATCGATGTATGTGGCTATTTCTGCGGCCTTGCGGGTCTTACAGGGATAGACCTCGATGTACTTGAAAAAATGATCAATTAATACCAACAGGATAGAATATTCATAGCGGTTCGGGCCAGGTGACACGTCGATATCTGTTGTGTCCATAGTGACTCGCTGGAAGGGATGCTCTACTTCCGTTGGTACTATCGTGTTTGGTCCCCGTATTGGGGCGCGATCAGCGGCACAGATCAGACAGTTGGCGACAATGTATCTGACATCATCTCGTATGTTTGACCAGAACCATCGGTTCTGGTCTATAGTTGCTTCCGTGACACGTATCGCGAAATGAGCGGCATGTTCTTCGTGAGCCGATCGGATCCAATCATATCTCTGGAACGGATGGGGAACCGTCAACCACGAACCTGATCCGTCAGTTTTACACTTCTCTAAATGACCGTTGATCCATCGATAGTCCCGAGATCTCTCGGTTGCCCTACGTCTGTCATGTTTGGTGAGGTGACCCAATGATAATCCCGCTAATTTTGCCGATAAAATTTTATCCGTCCAAACCTCTGCTCGTCGGTATTTTTCATCGTATTCAGGGCCGTCCGTACGGGCGGCCTCGAATCGAACCTCCGTGGGGAGTTTGTTCGTTCTACACAGGGGGCACCTCCATTCCCTGCTACTCGTCCGATATCGAACGCAAACCCCGTGCGCACGATTGACACACGTGGCACATTCTATCCAATCGACAAACCCGATTTCGAAGGGATGACAGTCGACCCCATAAACTCGTGCAATACACGTGCAAAAATAGCAGAATTTGTCAGGAAGGGTGGCGAAGAAAGCTGAGGAAGTGAGAGGGGCAGAATTAATAGGAGAAGAGGGGGTTGCGGAGACAGGTGGGGTAGTCATGATGACAAAGGAGGGGAGACGAGACTGAACTGTGGAGAGGGTAGAGCAGACAAATTGATCCACGTGTTACTTACTGCTTCGACAAGATCTCCACTTGGCCGTACCGAGGCCCAACCTCCTTTTCGGGTTCGTTCCACGGAATCACCTCCTCACTCTTCGGAACCTTCTCGGGCCGGTGCAGTCGCGGCAGTCCGTCCGCATTTCCATGTCTCTCGTGCTTCCGATGACGAATGTCAAAGTCCATGCTCTGCAGCACCGTTGCCCATCGCCCGATCATGCTAGAGTAATCCTTCGATTTCTTCAGAGCCAACAGGAGCTCATGATCGGTTACCAAGGTGAACTTCCGCCCGTACAGGTAAGCGCGAAAGTGACTGATTCCCCAGAGCGCCGCGTAGCATTCTCCTGTCGGAGCAGCATAGTTGCGCTTGCAAGCAGGCACTGATCTGGACGCATACTCTACCACGTTCTCGAGCCCGCCTGGTCCCACCTGTGCCAGGATCGCCGAAATTGCCTCGGGCTGCCAGTCGGTAATGAGGATGAAAGGCTTTTCGGGATCCGGCCTTATAAGGACCAGAGCCGAAATGAGATCGGCCTTGAGTTTCGAAAACACCTGATCACACTCCGGTGTCCAAATCAACGGTTGATCCTTTCGCAGCAGATTCGTGAGGGGTCCCGCGATCGCCGCGAAGCCCTTGATAAATCTTTGGTAGTACGAGGCCAGACCCAAAAAGGCGCGAACTTGCGTGATAGTCGTAGGCAACGGCGCATCCCTGACAGCTGCAACCTTCTGCGGCTCCGGTTGGAGTCCATGGTTTGTTACCACTTGTCCCAGAAAGGAGATGGTGGTAAGGAAAAACTGACACTTCTCAAACGCCACCTTGAAACCCGCATCTCGTAACGCATGCAGCGCCCATTCGATGTGCTGCACGTGTCCCTCGTAGGAGCTCGAGTACACGAGAATGTCATCCATGTACACAATCACGCAGTAGTTGATGATGCTCTGTGCCAAACGTGTCTTCCGCACGAAGTTATGAAAAGCCATATTCATGGCTCGCTGAAAGGTCGCGGGGGCGTTACAAATACCCATTGGACATCGAATCCACTGCCATGTACCTTCGAAAAACACAAACGCCGTTTTCGGACGATCTTCTTCTCGAACAAGAAGGTGATGGAACCCATGACGAACATCAAACTTACTGAAAAATCGAGCACTCCCAATCGCATCCAACAACTCATCAATCCGGGGAAGGGGGTACACATCTTTGATCGTGATATCATTCAACTTCCGGTAATCAATGCAAATGCGAATCCCTCTGGCTATCTTGGGCACAATTACTACGGAAGAGACCATGGACCTATTGCGGGTTCGATCCATCCATTAGCTTTGAACTCTTTAATCCGCTGAAAAGCGGCCGCTCTCTGAGCGGGCGAGTATCAGTAAGGAGCGCAGCTAATGGGCGGATGATCTCCCGTGAGGATGGCATGCTCCATCACATTAGTTAAGCTGATATCGTTATCATGCACGCTCAGCACCTCTGCATAACCGTTCAAAACATCGATTAATGACTTTCAGATTTCCGTGGGCACATGGCTCGGTAGCTATGTTACTCTCCGTACAGATACGGGTCGTCCGTACGAAGCATACGGCCGTACGTACGGCCCCCCCGGCGGCCGTACGGGCCGTACGAAGCATTTCGGCGGCCTTCCCGGGCCGCGATCGGCCGACTGAGGGGGGGGGGGGGGGGGGG